GCCAGGGACACTTGGAGGGTGGCAGAGGAGGCTTCAACGCTTTTTGGGGGAGTGGTTTCCATCCTTCTATCTGTGGGTTCCTTAGGACAGAACTCTCCTGCTGCCCCCAAGGGAATAGCCATATCCCTGGTAAGGGATAGAAACATAGAACTGGAAGGGACCTCGAGAGATCATCTAGTCCTGGCACTCAAGGCAGGACTAAGTATTATCTAGACCATCTCTGACAGGTGTTTGTCCAACCAGCTCTTAAAAATCCCCAATGATGGAGATTCCACAACCTCCCTAGGCAATTTATTCCAGTGCTTAACCACTCTGACAGTTAGGAAGTTTTTCCTAATGTCCAACCTAAACCTCCCTTGCTGCAATTTAAGCCCATTGCTTCTTGTCCTATCCTCAGAGGTTAAGAACAACAATTTTTCCTCCCTCCTCATTATAACAACCTTTTATGTACTTGAAAACCGTTACGTCCCCTCTCAGTCTTCTCTTCTCCAGACTAAACAAACCCAATTTTTTCAATCTTCCCTCATAGGTCATGTTTTCTAGACCTTTAATCATTTTTGTTGCTCTTCGCTGGACTTTCTCCTATTTGTCCACATCTTTCCTGAAATGTGGCACCCACAACTGGACACAATACTCCAATTGAGGCCTAATCAGTGCAGAGCGGAATGGAAGAATTACTCTAAGTGTCTTGCTTACAATACTCCTGTTAATACATCCCAGAATGATGTTTGCTTTTTTTTTTGCAACAGTGTTACACTGTTGACTCTCATTTAGCTTGTGATCCACTATGACCTCCAGATCCCTTTCTGCAGTACTCCTTCCTAGGCAGTCATTTCCCATTTTGTATGTGTGCAATTGATTGTTCCTTCCTAAGTGGAGTACTTTGCATTTGTCCTTATTGAATTTCATCCTATTTACTTCAGACCACTTCTCCAGTTGTTCAGATTATTTTGAATTTTAATCCTATCCTCCAAAGCACTTGCAACCCCTCCCAGCTTGCTATCGTCCACAAACTTTCTAAGTCTACTCTCTATTATGCCATTATCTAAATCATTGATGAAGATATTGAACAGAACTGGACCCAGAATCGATCCTTGCGGGACCCCACTCATTATGCCCTTCCAGAATGAGTATGAAACACTGATGATTACTCTCTGGGAACGATTTTCCAACCAGTTATGCACCCACCTTATAGTAGCTCCATCTATGTTGTATTTCCCTAGTTTGTTCATGAGAAGGTCATGTGAGACAGTATCAAAAGCCTTACTAAAGTCAAGATATACCACATCTACAGCTGCCCCCCATCCGCAAGGCTTGTTACCCTGTCAAAGAAAGCTATCAGGTTGGTTTGACATGATTTGTTCTTGACAAATCCATGCTGACTGTTATTTATCACCTTATTTTCTTCTAGATGTTTGCAAATTGATTGCTTAATTATTTGCACCATTATCTTTCCGGGTGCAGAACTTAAGCTGACTGGTCTGTAATTTCCCGGGTTGTCCTTATTTCCCTTTTTATAGATGGGCACTGTATTTGCCCTTTTCCAGTCTTCTGGAATGTTTCCCGTCTTCTATGACTTTTCAAAGATAATTGCTAATGGCTCGGATACCTCCTCAGTCAGCTCCTTGAGTATTCTAGGATGCATTTCATCAGGCCCTGGAGATTTGAAGACATCTAACTTATCTAAGTAATTTTTGACTTGTTCTTTCCCTATTTTAGACTCTAATCCTACCTCATTTTCACTGGCATTCACTATGTTAGACGTCCAATCGCCACCCACCTTCTTGGTGAAAACCGAAACAAAGAAGTCATTAAGCACCTCTGCCATTTCCACATTTTGTTATGGTCTTTCCCCCCTCACAGAGCCTACTCGGTCCTTGGTCTTCCTCTTGCTTCTAATGTATTTCTAAAATGTTTTTTTTGTTTCCTTTTATGTCCCTAGCTAGTTTGATCTCGTTTTGTGCCTTGGCTTTTCTAATTTTATCCCTACGTACTTGTGTTATTTGTTTATACTCATCCTCTGTAATTTGACCGAGTTTCCACTTTTTGTAGGACTCTTTTTTGAGTTTTAGATCATTGAAGATCTTCTGGTTAAGCCAGGGTGGTTTCTTGCCATACTTTCTATCTTTCCTACACAGTGGGAGAGTTTGCTCTTGTGCCCTTCATAATGTCTCTTTGAAAAACTGCCAACTGTCTTCACTTGTTTTTCCCCTTAGACTTGCTTCCCATGGGATTTTACCTACCAACTCCCTGAGTTTGCTAAAGTCTGCCTTCTTGAAATCCTTTGTCTTTATTGTGCTGTTCTCCCTCCTACCAATTCCTTAGAATCATGAACTCTACCATTTCATGATCACTTTCACCCAAGTTGCCTTCCACTTTCAAATTCTCAACCAGTTCCTCCCTATTTGTCAAAATCAAATCTAGAGCAGCCTCCCCCCAGTAGCTTTCTCCACCTTCTGAAATAAAAAATCGTCTCCAATACATTCCAAGAACTTGTTGGATAATCTGTGCCCTGCTGTGTTATTTTCCCAACAGATGTCTGGGTAGTTGAAGTCCCCCATCACCACTAAGTCCTATGCTTTGGATGATTTTGTTAGTTGTTTAAAAAAAAGCCTCATTCGCCTCTTCTTCCTGGTTTGGTGGTCTGTAGTAGACCCCTACCATGACATCACCCTTGTTTTTTACCCCTTGTATCCTTACCCAGAGACTTTCAACAAGTCTGTCTCTTATTTCTAGCTCAACTTCAGTCCAAGTGTATACATTTTTAATATATAAGGCAACACCTCCTCCCTGTGGCAGCAGTTTCTGAGCAATAGAGCCCTTTGGTTCTTGAATATTATAGAGCCTGAGGTCACTCAATATATTTGCCCTTTTTAGGCTTGTTCCATTCACCCCTAATCGCTTCCTCAGAGAAGGAGCAAAGGGGTATTGCTGCCTGAGGAGGGAAAAACATTTACTGAGGCTTCATCTCAGGTTTCAGAGCCAGACAGCTCACCTTCCTCAGTGGAGGAGGAGGAAGAGGGGTCTGAGGACTTGTATCTCTTGTATTTTTTGATACTTTTTCTTTCCCCTTTTAGCCTTTTTGAGTTTTTAACTTGTTCTGTGCACTTTAGAAGCCTTGATGCTCTGTTGCAGCTTTGGTGAACTCTCTTATGACTAGCCTTGCTTCGGATCTGGAGTCGTCTCGACAAGTCTCTCTCAGAATGCTCTCCGCTGGGTCCCATTCAAGGGGAAGGGGGGAAACTCATTGTCAGAGCCCTCCTGGTTGGCTTGGGAGGAAAGGGGGCTGATGAGAAGCCCTGCCTCTTTTCCCAGGGTGCACGGGACCCACTTAAGACTTGGAGGGGGACGACTTGTGGCCACGCAAGCCTGTTCTGCAGGGGTCTCAAGGACTTTCCCCCTGAGTTGAGTGGTCGGGGTCCTCCACCCTTTTGGAGCCTCTCCCTGCTCTACACTGGAGTTCTCAGTCCATGTTTCCCCCGTTGGAGTCACAGTAGCTCTGGTAGGTTGTGGACTCCACCTGCTTGTCAGACTCATAGCGGAAGGCTCAGGAAGGGTTAAAACCCCGAAGGGTTAACCAACCCAGAGAGGAGGAGGAATGCTGAGGAGGGAGAACACAGCTCCCCTGTGCCCAAAAAACTGGGCAGAAAAGTTAAAATAGGAAGAGGAAGGGCAGGAGAAAAAAGCCTCCACTGACTTGAAGCCTGGGCCACGTGGCATGCCCTGAGCCCAGCACTACCAGAGAAAAGTTCAACAAGTAACTTCAGGGAAAGCTGGATACCACTAAGGCTAGAAATGCTGCAGCAAAGCTGGAGCACAAGTTCCAACTACCTTCACTGGCAGCAAGAAGGAACTGAGGGTGGGGGGAGCACACAGCCCCCTTTATGGCGTGATATGTCGGCGCCACTCCAGGGGTCGCAGCGGTGCTCTCCCACTATGGATGCTGCTAAGGGAAAAACTTTCGGCACCGGTGCACGTGGCGAGCACGCACACCTACTGTGGAATACACAGGAGCAATCACTCGAAGAAGAACTGGGCAAAAAAGTTAAAATAGGAAGAGGAAGGGGAGGAGAAAAAAGCCTCCACTGTCTGGCAGCAAGCAGAAGTGGTCAGACTATGTGGCGCCAAAACACTGATCCACCGCTGTGAACTGCAGAGAGAGGAGAGCAGCCCACATATCCAGAACTGTGGGAGATATTGGGCTGGAGAAAGGTAGGAAGTGCTGTAGTGACACATACATTCTATATTCCCGGTTTAGAAGCCAAATCATCACTTAAACATTATTTGTTGATTATCACAGCAAGACTTTTAAAGCACAGACCTCTTTTAATTCCTGTGTTATAAGGGGGGCTTCTTAGATACTTCACCTCCCTCTACATATCAGGCCTTACCATTACTCCAATAGTTACCCTGAAGTATGCTCTACAGCAAAGATGACTATTTGTCAGGACCTAGCCTTTTCTACTTTCTCAAAGGGTGTGTTCTCATCAGAATATTACATCCCGTTTCACCACAGACACTCTCCTACGTACATGGAAAATCATCAGACTCCAGGGATATGGCTCTGAAGATCTCATGAACACCACCCTCTGATCACAGAACCACCAGAGCAACAGCCCCGCTTCCTTGTAGGAGGTAAGCCAAAGGCCTTTTGAGTTCCAGTTTCTGGCTAACTCGCCGTACACACAATGGCCCAGCTTGGCAGAACCATGCTTCCACCTACATGTAAGTTGAGATTTGTGCATATAGGTCCCACAAAGCATGCCCAGATCCTGACTTGCAGGTGTGCACTGGGCATTGAGCATGGACAAATCAGGCACATGCAAACGTAGGTGCATAGATGTGAAGCAAATCTGTATAATTATAGGAATCTACCAAATCATAGGTGTGCAGGTCCAATTGAACAAAAGACTAACTTAATGGATACTGAAAATGGAACTCTTCCTTCCATATTTGCATAGTACTACAAGCCCTAGTAACAGTGCCTTTTATCCCCTTACCTCTCGCTGCTGCTGGTTTAAACTATGTGAATTCCTCTGGCAAAGTGCAATTGTTTTCACCAAGGTATCTTCAATATCCTTTAATAAGTGGAGTTCTGTTGATTCTAGGTTAATGAAAAACAAAGAGATTACACCATGGTTCAGATAATTTACCGTGCCATTACTGCTAAATCATTCAAAAAAATAAAACCATGCTGCTCACCTAATAATCTCTTCCCTGTATCACAAACAACTGTTATGAAGACAGGCTCTGACCCTTTTTTGTGGATTCAGCTCTATAGCAGAATAAACTGTGCTTTGCAAAATGCTTTATGCAACCATATTAGTAACATCTGAGTTTTGGCTTAGATATGCCTTGACACTGATTAAAAACATCACATTTTTATTTGCTGCTATTGAGTCCTGGAGCTCATGAACAGAGAGCATAGTAGGAACCACACTAGGTTTCCTGCCAATGTAGCAGAGTTGCTTCCTTTGGGTTATTTGCCTAGTTTTCGGTAATGGTAAAAAATGATATAAAGTGCTGTGAGGCTGTAATATTCGTTTGCTGCAGAAGCAAGAGGTAAATTTCTTCATTTCATTACTGCATGTTTCCTGACGAAGAGCATGCCCACAGTGAGGTACACAGAGTAGTGGGTTTCAAAAAACAGGAACTGCTATATCAGACCACTGATGGATTCAGTCTAGTTGTGTCCTACTTCCAAGAGTGGCCAATACCAATTACTTCAGAAAAAAAAATGTTAAAAACCTCACCCTGGACAATCATCACATAACTTGTTCAAAAGGGAAGAGAAAGTTACTCACCTTGCAGTAACTGAGGTTCTTCAAGATGTGTGTCCCTGTGGGAGCTCCACTCCAGGTGACGGTGCATCCCGGCGCTGTTGATCGGAGATCTTTGGTAGCAGTGCATGGTCGGGACACACACTCAGCTGCTGTCTCACGGCGTCGTTAGGGTCTGCCTGAGCTGCGCATTCCACACACACCTCAGTTTCTTCTCTACTGTAGAGTTGTCTGATTAGTACTCCAAAGTAGAGGGGAGGAGGGTGGGTAGTGGAGCACCCACAGGGACACACATCTCTAAGAACCTCGGTTACTGCAAGGTGAATGTCATAACTATAAAGGGAAGGGTAACAGCCCTCCTGTGTACAATACTATAAAATCCCTCCTGGCCAGAGACACCAAAATCCTTTTACCTGTAAAGGGTTAAGAAGCTCAGGTAACCTGGCTGACACCTGACCCAAAGGACCAATAAGGGAACAAGATACTTTCAAATCTTGGTGGGGGCGGAAGGCTTTTGTTTGTGCTCTTTGTTTTGGGGAGTTCGCTCTTGGGACTGAGAGGGACCAGACATCAATCCATGCTCTCCAAATCTTTCTGAACAAGTCTCTCATATTTCAAACTTGTAAGTAAAACAGCCAGGCAAGGCGTATTAGTTTTATCTTTGTTTTCTCAACTTGTAAATGTTCCTTTTGCTAGAGGGTTTACCTCTGTTTGCTGTAACTTTGAACCTAAGGCTAGAGGGGGCTCCTCTGGGCTCTTTGAATCTGATTACCCTGTAAAGTTATTTTCCATCCTGATTTTACAGAGATGATTTTTACCTTTCTTTCTTTAATTAAAAGCCTTCGTTTTAAGAACCTGATTGATTTTTCCTTGTTTTAAGATCCAAGGGTTTGGATCGGTGTTCACCAGGAAATTGGTGGAGAAGTCTCTCAAGGCTACCCAGGGAAGGGTTATAGTACTTGGGAGGGAGATATTCTGGGGGGGAGGTAGACAGAGTTTCCCAAATAACTCATAAATCGTTTGGGTGGTGGCAGCAAAAGCAGATCTAAGCTGGTAGTTAAGCTTAGAGGTTTTCATGCAGGTCCCCACATCTGTACCCTAGAGTTCAGAGTTGGGAAGGAACCTTGATAGTGAGTAACTTTCTCTTCTTCTTCGAGCGCTGTCCCTGTGGGTGCTCCACTCCAGGTGAATGTGAAGCAGTACCCACTATAGTTGGTGGGATTTTGGAGTTGCGTGAGGAATAACAGTAGACAGTACTTTATGGCCAACTATGGCGTCTGCCGTGGTATCCCGTGTGATAGCATAATGTTTGGCAAACGTGAGGTCAGATATCCATATGGCCGCCTTGCATATGTCTAATAGGTGTTGTGACAAAGTTCCTCCTCTACCTTAGTGGGTCCTGCGCTTATTGGCGGATTTGCTCGCTTCACAGATTCACCCTGTGGGTCAGGAAACAGTCCAGAGACCTCCCCCTCTGGTAGAAGCTATAGTCCAGGTCAATTCCTCCTGTGTTTGATCAGGAGTTGGGAGGTATGGGGGGAACCCGGGCCCACCCTCTACTCCGGGTTCCAGCCCAGGGCCCTGTGGACTGCAGCTGTTTAGAGTGCCTCCTGGTACAGTTGCACGACACCTACAACTCCCTGGGATACTTCCCCAATGCCTCCTCCCAACACCTTCTTTGTCCTCACCACCAGACCTTCCTCCTGATGTCTGATAATGCTTGTACTTCTCCATCCTCCAGCAGTACGCCTACTCACTCTCAGCTTCTTGCACACTTCTTGCTCCCAGTTCCTCACACACTCTTCCTCTCCTCTGGCTCCCCGGCTCCCCCTGGCTTGACTGGAATGAGCCCTTTTATAGCATCAGAGGGGCCTTAATTAGAGTCAGGTGCTTAACTGCCTCACCTGACTCTTAGCAGGTTAATTGGAGTCAGGTGGTCTATTAGCCTGGAGCAGCCCCTGCTCTGGTCACTCAGGGAACAGAAAACTACTTATCCAGTGGCCAGTATATCTCCCTTCTGCTACTCTGCTGTTCCCAACTGGTCTGGGTCTATCACAGTACGTTGTGGAGGAAGGCAACAGATATTGACATTGCTCTAGTAGAATGAGTTCTAACACTCTCTGGTGGTTGAACATTCTGGATCTGATAGCAGGATCTGATACAGTCCAAGATCCACTTGGAGAGTCTTTGCTTAGAGATAGTATCACCCTTTGATCTCTCAGTAGTAGAAACAAATAGAACTAAACCATTTCGTAAATCCCCATGGCTGTCAAGATAGAATGCAAGAGCCCGTCGGACGTTGAGGGTATGTAATGCAGCTTCCTGTGGAGTCAAATGAGGATTGGGATGGAATATAGGTAAGTGTATTGGCTGGTTAAGGTGAAAGGTAGACACCACCTTGGGGAGGAAGTTGGGATGGGTTCGCATAGTAACCTTGTCTTTAGAGAAAATGGTGTAGGGAGGGTAGGCCATCAGGGTGCTTATTTTACCAACCCTTCTTGTTGACGTTATGGCAACCAAGAAAGCCACTTTCATGGACATGTGGAGCAGGGATGAGGTGGCCAGGGGCTCGAAAGGGGGTTTCATAAGAGCGTGGAGAACTAGGTTGAGACTTCAGGAGGCTACTGGTGAATGAATCTCAGGGTAGAGATTTTGCAGGCCTGTGAGGAAGTGTTTCTTGGTGGGGTGGGCAAAAAGTGAATAGCGGTCCAGAGTGTCATGGAAGGTGGTAAGGGCCGCAAGGTGTACTCTGATAGAACTGTGCGAAAGCCCATCCTGTTTCAGTTACAAAAGATAGTCTAAGGTATCAGGGAAGGTTGCAGTCTGGGTGTATCAGGCATCTGTGGAAGCACCAGATGGAGAAGCGTTTCCACTTTTGCAGGTAAGTCTTACAAGTGGAGTCCCTTCTACTGTGCAGGAGGATGTGTTGGACCTGTTCCGAGCAGGCTAATTCGTGGGATTGAAATCATGAAGGAACCACACCGTCAGATGGAGTTTGTGGAGCTGCAGATGAAGAAGCCGACTGCAATTCTGGGAGAGGAGATCTGGTCTGTCGGGGAGAGTCCGGGGAGGACAGATGGACATGCATAGCAGGTAAGGATACCATGTCTGCCTGGGCCAAGCTGGGGCAATAAGTATGACCCGAGCCTTGTCCTCTGTGATCTTGCGTAGAACTCTGTGTATCAGTGGAATCGGTGGAAAAGCATACATGAGGGAGTTGTTCCAAGGAATGAGGAACGCATCCCCTAGAGATGCGTTTCCGAGTCCCACTCTGGAGCAAAATAGATGGAATTCGCCGTTTTGAGGAGTGGCAAACAGCTCTATTGATAGAGTGCCCCAGTGGGAGAAGAGCTGTCGGAGTATCGTGGGATGTAATTCCCATTCGTGTTCCTCGGAGAAGTGTCTGCTGAGTGTGTCGGCGGTAGTGTTGTGATACCCAGGCAGGTAGGAAATGGTGATTTTTATGTAATGTTGTATGCACCAATTCCATAACCGGATGGCTTCTGTGCATAGGGAGTGAGATTGTGCTCCTCCCTGCCTGATGGCTCTGAGTTCTAGAAGATTGATGTGCAGATGCATCTCTGAGAGGGACCAGCGGCCCTGTACCTTGCGCTCGCCTAGATGTGCTCCCCAACCTATCTGGGAAGCGTCCATGGTCAACAGGAGTACTGGGGAGTGTGGATGGAAGGGAACACCCATGCATAGGTTCTCTGGTTTTGTCCACCAATGTAGGGAGGCCAATACGTTCGGTGGCGGAGTCAGTGTTATGCAGAAACCGTGTCTGCTGGGTTTGTGGTTGGAGTTGAGCCAACCCTGAAGGCATCTCCTGTGCAGCCTGGTGTATTTGGCCAGGAAGGTGGTGGCTGCTACGTGACCAAGAAGCTGAAGGCAGGTCCGTGCCTGTATTCTGGGGTGAACAGCGATCATGCATATGAGATGCACAATAGTGAGGAATCGCAGGAAGTGTCTGTGTGCTGGATGAATGGATATATGGAAATAGGCGTCTTGTAGGTCGAGGGCTGTGAACCAGTCCCCTTGTTCCAGCACGGGTATTATTGTGCCCAATGTGGCCATCTTGAATTTTTGTACACGTACAAAGTTGTTCAGTTGGTGTAGGTCTAATATAGGTCTCCAACCCCGCCCTTCTTTTGGGTTAGAAAGTAGGAGTAGAATCCTTTTCCCTGATGTTGCGTCGGTACATTTTCGACTGCACCTAGGTGGAGAAGATGAGCCACCTCCACACAGAGAAGGTGCTCATGAGAGGGGTCCCTGAAGAGGGACGGGGAAAGGGAAAGGGTGGGCAGGGAAGATAGAAAAGGGATGG